TCCCAATATAAAATGAGCTATTAGTCCTTGTGCAAAGAGAACTTTCTCCAATGAAGGGAGGACGCAGTTCTTGTGCAGCCTCATTGTGTGGATCCTTCACTTGAGGTTGGGTGGCAGGATGGCTTCTTGATCTTTCCTGGACTGTACAGACACCTTGCTGGCAGTTCTGTCTTGCTTTTTTATGCTGTTTTAATTGCATAGCTTCAAAGCATTCCTCCTTGATAGTTGGTTAATCAAAGTCTGAACAAAACGGGCAAGGACAGAATTAACGTATTACAATTGTACCCTGTTTGTGTGTTTGCGAAGTGTGCAAGCTGATGTAGGAATCAAATGGGATGGGTATTGATCACAGAACATTATTTTTCAGTAGTTACTTTAACAATGGAGCCTAATAAATGCTGTATCAAATGGCTCAGGGAGATAGTGAAGATCAGAGACCAGTGGATACAATAGGTATGAGTTTTAGGAGAATACACACTGGTTTAGCATAATCAACATTTAGAGATTGACTACCTATTTTGAGAAATATGCCTTAATAAATGCAAATGTGAGGCCATGAGGATCAGACGATAGGTGTGAGCTAGGTTAGATGCAGTCATGTAGACTGATTTAGCATAAAACTTTAGACAGGTATTGGATGTGTGCTTTGGGAAATAGGTCGTAATCAAAGGGGGAATGTGTTAACCTGGATATATTTCCAGTCATGTTTTCAATGCACCTTGGCTTTTCTTTTCTCTTATTTTGCATTGAAGTGGATATTTTAGTTCTTTTGTTTTCTCTAGTGCCATTTAGCTCAGTTGAGATGTAGGTTGAGTTTGTAGGTTGAGTTTGCAGGTTTCTCCCCGGGCCACTTGACTTTCTGGCTTGCTCTGAGTCTTGTTACATTTATGCAACGAGTGTGTTAGGTCTCTGTCAATACTTTTAACCATCACTTCTCTGGTGTGGTAGAAGGTTGAGGACTGTTATTGCGACTGTTATTACCTTATGGCATGGGTTTGGTATTGGGTGCCGCAAGGCTCCACTCTCTCTTAGGCCTAATGGGTTGCAAGCCATTAGCGGAGTTTGATTTTCTTGTGGCAGTCTTGTTACCACAACCTAGTCTTGCCCCAGCCCTGGTCTTACATTTTTGTGCAAGACACACTGTCCAAGCTTGCACAGGTTTCATATGCAGCACAGGGAAGTTTAAATATAGATGTTCAGAAGCACGATCAACTGTAGAAAGCCTGCAGTTTTGGGTGCCTCCATGTGCGGGGTGCAAAGGTCTGATTTGCAGCATTAAGCAGGTGTGACGAGCCGGTCCCATGATGAGACTCCTGCCATTTGGGGTCTAATCTTACCACGATGCTTTGTAAGAACTCAGTGCCAACATATTCATACCCTAAATCTGATATAGCCTCATGCTTGAGCACAAAGATCTTATTTGTTGTTTGGTTGGTTTCTTATGTGAATAATGCAGTTGCCTTTCATTTCAGTGAATTTAACCTAAATGTAGAATCATCGCATCATAGAAAAATAGGGTTAGGAGGTCAGAGCCCAGACAGGAGGCCATCTAGTCTAACCCCCTACTCGAGGCAGGACCATACAGACCCACACCATTCTGGACAAGCGATTCTGTAACCTGACCTTAAAAATTCCCCTACAAAGGAGGTTGCAAAGCCTCTCCAGGTAAACTTGGATCCAACTTGGAAAGCTGCCTTCTTGACCCATTTCTGGTCATCACTGGAAATTTCCACGTGGGGTTTGCTCTAAGTAAAGCACCTGGGAAGAAACCAGTTAAAATAAGAGTCACTTTCAAACCTTGCCATTACTTTTTGCAGTAAAAATCAGAATAAATCTGTTCCCCTAACCCAATATTCCTGTGATAGGAATTCACAGTTGCTTTTCTGGGAATGGCAATGGAAACCCAGACAAATGAGGAGGGAGGGAAGGTGGGGGAGGAGGGCTGAATTCATGGTTGAACAAAGAACAGTATTTTCTGCCTCCTGGTCTTGATTTAATGATGGTTCGTTGTTAGGTTGGTTTCTTATGTAAATAAAGTGGTGGCCTTTCCCTCCAGGAAAGTTAATTTAAATGATGTCGGCAAAGAGTGAAGTTGTAGGAACCTGCTGGTATTAATAGCTCCAGGCTTTTGTTCTCTGCATCTTTTATGCTTGATATCTGTGTATGGGGAGAAATGCTCTTGGTGACCTCTGTCGTCTGGGGAAAAGCGGAACAAAGCTCTGGACATCCTGGCCGCATCCCTGTGCGGTTTGCAGCATCTCAAAGCCTTTTGAGACACTGCAAAATGCACGCAGCACTCGTGATTCTGCTCACCACATGCATATTTGCAGCACAGCGCAAAATTAGATACTGGGAAATCCCAGTATCTAAAAAACCCACACCAAAAAAAAAGCGTGGCTGCAGCATGTGCTGCCCAAAATTGGAGCCTGGCTGGCCAGAGCCATGCTCCAGCTGCCAGTCAGGCTCTGTGTGCCTGGATTGCTGTTGCTGCAGCCCCAGGAGGCCCCCAGGAGCCCAGGTAAGGCTGCTGGGGCCAGCCTGGGTACTGGCCCCAGCCTTCCTTACCCCACCCGGGGCAATTTGCTACGCACCAGAGTGCACATGCAGACTGCACATGCCCAGGGAAAACTAGCAGCGGCTCAAATATGTATTGCTGTTAATTGTCCCTGGGGAAATGCATGTTCCCACTCATGGGGACATGTCCCCTGTGGGTGTGTTACGAGTAAATGTGCTTGGAAGAGGAAGGCACTTATGGAGCGGGGGACAGGGGGCTTCCCAGCAGCACCCCATCCCCCCCGCCAAAGCTCGCTCCAGTGGTAGGAGGGGAGCAGTTCTGTATGTGGCAGGTTCCCCTTCTTGTGCTGACCAAAGTCTACACTCAAAAAGCCCCCAAAACAGGATTAGTTAGTGGTGAATCAGGCACAAAATATCAAAGCAGATGGGTGTCTGAACTAACTTATGCTGTAAATAAAAGGAGCCCTTTGTATTTTTCCACTGCCTTGAAAATACCAATTGTTTCCAAGCAATGGGAAAGTTATACTCAAATAACCTTTGATCCAGCAGTGCTCTTTTATTTTTGGCAGGCCAGTTTACTTGGGGGACATGTCTCTTGCTTGAAATGTGCTCAGCGAAAGAGAATAGCTGGAGGTTGCCGGCGAACTGAGATCTCTATTCCTTCTGACATAATGGAGAGCAGCCTAGGGACTGCTCTAATTTATGCCAGCTGCCTCCCGTCCCCAAGAAACCAAGGGCTGTCGATCATTGAAAGAATCGGCAGAGCGCAGCTGGGCTCTGGCGCCCTCCTGACATGCTGCCTAGAAAGAGCTGATAGTTGGCATAGGAGCCGGCTATGCCAGCTCTCCTGCAGCTGAGAAATCCCTCCTCAAGGAGAAATATCTCAGCTGGCCAGTGACATCTTGCTTCTGATGCCTTTTTGCCGGTGGAGAGTCTTGCCTTCTCGGTCCAAAAGCCAAAGTAGCAAACTTATTTATGCTATCCCCTGGAGGAAGCCTTCTCCCAATACAACAAGCTCACCACTGCCGCGCTGTATATTGTTCTCCGGGAAACAAAGGCGTTGACACAACAGTTTGCTGTTCAGGTTTTGTACCGCGCTGTCAGCACGGAGGGCTGCGCTCCAGACAACAGGGCAGAGCTAAACATAGACCTCACCCATGCTAACATTCGGCTTTGACTGATTGCCGCCTGTTAAATGATACTGCTGAGCCATAAACATTTGCCGGGACGGGTAAACACCGAAGTGAGACACTCCAGGCTGAAAACCATTGGCTGTGAGCAAGCTCCTTGTTTCTATTCTTTTTATTGCACAGGAAGAGATCATTGGGAAAACAGGAGGAGGCAGATCTGGAGTGTGAGACAGTCTGTGTTGGCCTGATGAAGCCTAAGCTGCACAGAGGCCTTGAAGGAAATGCTGAGCACTTTCCAGGGAGGGAAAAGCATTCAGGGTATGCAAGGGGTGCCCAGCACCCGGCAGGACGGGCTCCCTGGCTTGCAAATGCAGCAGTGCCGCAGCTGCCGTTCAGGAAACAGCAGATATTAATCACAGGCAGCAAAGGAGATTGTTCCCTCAGTCCAGTCGAGGGGAGCAAACAGCTTGCTTGCATCAGTCTGATCCCTGTGTAATAGAGGAGAACAGCACAAGAAAAAGCTAAAATACTAGAGTCCCCACAAAAGAGGGGGAAAGCAGAGGGAGAGCGTCTTCTCAGCCTCCCACCCTGCACTCAACGTGCAACGGGTGTCTTTACCCCTGCTCCAGGGTGCGGGAGGGGGCTCTCGGGAACCACTCTAATTAAAGCGCATGCAGTGTCTCGTGTGTTCAGCATCCCACACATCACAATGGCAGCAGAGGCACTTTAACTAAAACTCGTTCAACAAGCTTTAGTTAAAACACTCCTGCCAACTGCTTTGACGCACAGGGACACTAAATACACATGACACCAAGGCTGCTGGAGCAAGCTAATTAGCACGCTCCTGCAGACTCAATTAATCAAGTCTGCTGCGATGCATTCTAATTAGAAGTCATCACAACAGGCGTTGAGCACATGTATAAGATGGTGTGCTAGTCATGGCAGACAGTAGAGTCCTTGGTGATTTAAAGGTGCAATACAGAGAAGAGAGTCACAAGAGTTGCATCCCTAAATACATAGAAATATAGGACCATATAGTGCAGTGGGATTTCTGGTTCAATGATGGCTCAAGGGTGGGGTCTCCAACTGAAATAACTCGTGGGCAATGGGATTCAAACCATAAATCGTTCAAGACCTGGCTTGTGCCAGAGAGAATATTACCATTAATTTGCCTCATTCATATCTCCCCAGTCTCTGAAAGGGAATGCATGATCCCTTTCCCTGACCTGTAACTGGCAGGGGCAATTTTTTTCCTTTCTAATCACAGTAATTGCTTTTCTGGACTTGCTAAATTAAGTTATGAGCTCTTACAGCAGGTAAAGTAATTGAGAGCCACAGCTGAGCCCAGAAACTTGTTCATTAGCATTATTCACTCTAACCGCCTCTCAGCACTAGTGAAAGAGGTGCCAAAAAGGTCAAAAGACTTTGTGCTTGCAAAAGCCTGGCCTCCAGTGAACATCTTTCCCCTTTTGCCATGGTATAATGTCATAGCTGTTTAACATACTGGTCAAGTTGTACATTTTTGTATTTATACAAGTAAGTAAAACATTAGACTCTGTCCAAGCAGCAGTTTTTGCTGAGGTGACTAAAAATATTCAGATCTGGTTTCTTTCCTCTTCCCAAGCTACTTAGGCAGTGACAGGACCAAGGGCCAAAGGCCTGCTCTAGAGCCCCTGGAGTTGATGAAAAGACTCCCCCTGATTTCAGCATGCTTGGAATCAGACCTGGCACCTGGGATCCCTCTCTCGTCTCCGTATTGCCTGGAAACGGATGATCCTTCATATAGAGAGTGAACAGAATACAGTTCTCCATGCTGCTGCCATTGTGTTCAACAGTAGAAGGACCAATCCTCAGGAAAGCAGTTTCAGAGCTTACTTCTCATGGTCTTGAATGCGTGGTCTACTCTAGCATAGTCTCCTCTTCTCATGGTCTTTATAGCTTGGTCTACTCTAGCGATCGAGTATGTGGCCTGATGTCTTGTTATTCCATCATAGGGAGATGTGCTGGAATGTGGGACAACATGAGCTGCTGGCCTTCTTCCCCACTTGGACAGACGGTCAATGCGCACTGCCCCAAATTCTTCCAAATGCTCACTGGGAAAAAAGGTAACATTAAACATTACTTTTTCAAATGAAATGTCAGATTTTGGGGGACACTTTCAGGTCAGGCTTTTCATAAACCCTACAACTGACACCCCCCCCCCAACAGCCCATTTTCCCTGTTTTTTTTTCAAAGGCCAATGACCATAACTAGGCAGTGTTTACAGCCTGAATATTGTTCAGCATGGTACTAAGGCAGACCTGGAAAATGGAACGGGCTTGAAACAAAAATAGAAGTAACTAGGCTCTTTTTCATTGGCCGGGCTGAGAGAAATGCAGAAATTAATCGCAGTAATAAAAAGCAGGTGGCTGGGTCAAAGGGGATTCTCAAGGATGGAGAACACCATCCTTTTCCCGAGCAGTAGAAGTGGGAAAGTCAAGGAACGCTTTGTTCTATCATTTACCTTTTCGGGATATCGAAGGTAGACATGAGGGTGGAATTTGCTTGCAATAAGCTCTAGGAATCATCAGGTTTTAGCAGGAAGTTTGGCTGATTTTGTTTTTAGCCTTTCCCCGCCTTTTGCTTGGAGCAACACTAACAAAATAATAGACATTGAAAACGCAGTCATTTCTGCTTAATCTGACAGTGCCCCCAAATGATAAAAGGCTGGTTTGTCTCTCTGGTTATGAAACATGTCAAAATACCGTAACTCAGTGTGATCCCTTATTTACATAAAAACACCCAGCCACTCTTTTAACAATTATTTTATGGAAGAAGGCATTCAACTACAAGGCAGATAGGAGCCAAAGTAAGATAGATTCAGCACAAGAGGAGGAGTATTTGATGATATTTAAAATTTGTGCATCCTATTTCAGCTATTTTGAAGAAAACACTATTCTTGCCCATGGCAGGGGGTCGGACTTGATGATCTGCTCAGGGCCCTTTCGACCCTACCTACTATGAAACTATGAATCTATGAACTATTCAAATTATTACATTAATATAGCGAACATAGGAGCATAAGAACATTAAGAAACTGCCGCTGCGGTGGGGGGGGGGGGGGGGGGGAAGGCCCCCCCCCCCCCCCCCCCCCCCCCCCTGGTCTATGTTAGCATAAAGGGTAACATTTAGGAAGGTCTGAATATCTGAGGAAATCTCTTCCTGACATAACTGCAGTCAGGTCTCATGTAATCTTTGGCCATAAAAGTACAAGTCTCTCTTAGGTCTGATTGGAAACCTTCTGTTTCAGCCACTGGAGGGAGCGGCTCACGTGTGTGTACAGAAGTGCTCCTTTGCAGCGCTGTAATTTAAAGCAGAGATTCCCAAACTTTTGCTTATTGCGTACCCCCTTCCAGATTTGCCAGCTGCTCAAGTACCCCTACCAGTATACCTTTTATATTTAACCCCTTAAATGCCCATTATTATTAGAATGAAAATTAAATTTGCCATTACATCATTTCTCCCACGTACCCTGCCAGAGATGTCTTGCTTACCCCAGGGGTATGTGTACCACAATTTGGGAACCCCTGATTTAGAGCACACTTTATAGCACTATAAAGTTACAGCACTCTTAAATATGATAGAAGTGCAGTGTTGGGGGGGCGGGGAGGCTGCAGGGGCAGGGAAGCGGGGGTGGTTTTGAACCTCTCTGCACTTTGCAGGCTTGGAGGCAGGACATGCCCTGCAGCCAGCTGGGGCTTCTCCACTGGTCAGAAATTTGACCAGCATTATTTAAAATGCTGTAGGTTGCTAAAGTGGTGTAAAATACAGGGCTTCAAATTTAATACCTCATTTAGCAAAGGTTAATTTAAAGTGCTGTACCCATTTTTAAAGTGCTATAAAGCCGTGTGCTTCTGTGAAGTTGCAGCAATAAAGCACTTTAAATGGCAACCCCCCCACACTTCTGCAAGTTGGCTCAGTCAAAAACAGAGGTGTCCTTATCAAAACCAGGGAGTCCTCACAACCAAGCAAAGGTTTGCATATCCAAAGGTTGCCTGATCTGAAATCTAGGGTGTGTCCCATTATTCTGGAGATAGTCTAACAACCTTAACTTAATTTGCCTTGATTATGCAGAGGCTGAGAGTTGCTGTGAGTCACTCCTAATAAGCGATGATCAAAGATACAGGCTTCAAGACAGAGTCCACAGGCAGAGATCCTGTTTTTGACTTGTTTCATTCATTGTTTTGAATCCAAATTAGCACCGTGCTTTCTGCTGGCTTGTAACTCCTGCATCTCGCAAGGTTGCTGCCACGTCTTGGACAAATTTTTGTTTTTCCCCTTAAAATTGCCTATCTCACAGGAAGACACAGCAGCCAAAACTTTGCTCTGTTGGTCACTTAGCTACAAAGGAAACTGATGTCCGCAAATGCAAAAGAACCACGTGGCAGTGATGCAAACGGGTCTGAACTAAATCTGTCAGCAGTGACAGACATGGAAACCCCCCCTCTCCCCTGCGCTTTACAGGAAGAAACCGTGTGTTAGTTCAACACAGCTCTGCAGTGTCTGTATAGACTGGGCACTTCAGTGGCGCTTTTTGGTGCTTTTAGCTAAAGGAGATTCAATCAGCTATTACATAAAAGCGCAAAAAAAGCCCTACAGAAATGCCCAATCCATACAGACGTTGAGCAAGCCAGGACCAACACCATGCTTCTCCTGCTCATGTGCTGGGCTTGGTGTCGGGGTGCGCAGAGTTTAAAGTAGAGTGCAGTTTCTGGAGGGGTTTTTATGTCTGTAAGCAGTCATAAATACTGGTGAGTGCTAGAAGAGGAAATCTGCAGCTGCTCTCAGCCTTCTTGGTTGGCCCAATATCGTGTTGAATTGAAAAGAAAATCTGGACCCAAATACAGCGTAGCACCGGTGAAGTTTGGATGGAGATCTGAATGCTCAACTTTCTGCCTGTTCAAATGGACACAGGCTCAACAGAGGGAATAAAGGAGAGCATATCACAATTTCCCGAGCAGAAATCTTTCATAAGAAATCTATGCCCATAGATGCCAATGTTATACCTTCCTCTTGACGCCTCACCTAAAGCCCTGTACTTATGGAGACAGACAATAGATGCCAACACATCTGCACATGCCCCTTTTTATCGTGCCTTGTCCTCTGACACACTTAAAGCCCTTCTTTGCAATCAGTATTGTAGGTTATAAGCACACTTCTAAGCAGTGCATTTTGATCCTCCTTATCTTGCTTATCACCATCTGCTAGAAACACACATTCTGCACCTCCCAGTCAAGGATGCTTGCAGTCAAGTTTCAAGGCAGGCTGGTAGGGTGTGGGGACAGGAAGGGAAAAGTGGGTGTTTTTCCTAAGATGCTTCATTTTTTTCACTTTGCTGTTGTATTACAACAGAACATGGAAAACATGAACTCAAAAATCCACAAGCCTGATCCTTCCAGAGAAATTAGCTGGAGCAAGACTTTCATAAATAGACGTATAACACATTTGTAATTCCAGCCAAGCAAGGATCAAAGCCTTTGTTATACATCTTCTTTTCCTATGGGACCTTTAACTCAGACCCGTAGTTAGTGTAGATGTCGTCTCACTATAGCATCATCCACAATGGTGCAACAGTTCAGACTTTATGTTCGCTCCTACCCTGTAAATTCCCATATACTCCACTGATAGTCTCATGCATGTGCATCTCATGCTTCTCTCTCTGACCCTTCAGTTTTGGACACGTCTTGCAAGACTACAGAAAAATAAAGCAGCTAGGTTAGATCCCGGAGTCTGCGGCAAAACAAGTGCCCAAATATAGTTTCCCTCCCTGTAATATTTCCAAGGAAAACAATAATCTGCCAGGCAATGACTAGAGTCATTACAGAGCTGCACGGGACCTTACTAAGTCATGTTTCTCTGTAGGAAGAGCACAGTAAAAGACGGAGAAGAGCAAAGCGGCTCTACCCTGCAGTACACTTGTTCTGACAGCAGTTTACCTTTCCCTGGGTAAAATCCTGTCCTGATTAGAGGCAAGGGGAGTTTTCCTCGGGTCAGAATTTCACCTTTAGAGCGGAGGAGACAGGTAGTATCTTGTCTGACTGTTGCACATAGCTATTGCTTTTACCAAGGCTCTGTTTCTTTGGCCGAAGTACCTCTCTGTGTGGGTACAGATGGCCATTCTAGCAGCCTGTTAAGGTCACACATTCCTTCGGTGATCTGATATTAGCTTATAGGGTCTCCATTTCATTTGCCCTGCTAATGCCTAACACAAGGTCGAGCACTTAGTCCTGGGGGTTGTTCCCGTTCTTGCTTCATGAAACGCATCGGATCGGAAACTGAGGTCTTGCTGGAAGCCTCTCTGAAACCTGCAGGTGATACTGTCAGCTAGATGCTGTGCTCCTGCTACATAGTAGAAAAACACACAGGTGTGGTTTATTCCTCCAAGAAAGGCTGGACCTAGGTTAGAAGTTCACAGAGCTAAGCTCTCCTCTGGCTGCTGGGGGACAAGTACACAAATCAGGTGATTTTTTTCCCTTGAAAATCCTGCAAACGCACATGTGCTTATAGTTATGTTAAAGATCAGAAATCACCTTAGAATGGGGTGGGCAAAATGCAGCCCGCGGGCCGGATGCAGCCCACCAGGCCATTCTATCTGGCCTGCGGGGCCCCTAAAACATTTAGAAAATTAATATATATCTGCCCCTGGCTGCCTGTCATGCCTTAGAATGGGATAACAGAGATTGTCTATGGAGTGAGCAGAGCCATTGGCACCCCATCTATCACCATTTTCTCTCATCATCAGGTTATGACAAATCCTCATAAAGACATCTAACCTAGGGACCTTCACGAGAATGGCAGATTTGACCATGGGATGAATTGAATCTGTGACTCCGTGAGTCACAGCTTTGTTGCTCCCAGATCGTCAGCCAACAAATACCAGCTGCGTAGAATATGGTTATTTATATTTCAGTTAATAAACCATATGCATCACAACCATCTCTGGGTGTGTGAACAGCCAGAACCACACAAATACACTGGGCAAATATGGTATCAACATAGTTCACTCACTGCCCTATCTATTCAACTGTATCTTCTGTATGCAGACAAGGTTCTTGGGGTAAACCTGATATCTTTTATTAGACCAGCTCAATTTCCTCCTCCCACAAAAGCCTGAAGAATGGATGGGCCTTGAATTCTGGTATTCAGGGACTGAGCCTCTTAACTTATAGGATACCATGGTCCAGAGTAGATGGACCATGTCTGAGCATCACCGTTCTCTCAGGTGTTTGGGTTTAGGGCTTTATTAGTAAGAACATCTGCCAACACATAAAGAGAGAGGTGGACTTTTTTAGGGCCCAAGTATATATGGCCCAGGTCCTATTGAAACCAGTGGCATAAACTTCCACCATGCAGGATTATGGACCTGACCCAGATCTTTTAGTAGAGAACAGAAGTCTTTCCATTGACTTCAGTAGGTTTTGGGTCAAGCTCTAAGCACTCCTAGGTCAGGGTCAGTGTTTTGTTGGTTCATTTTGCCTCTGTTCAAGAACTACCTGCTTCAAGAAGGTGCTCATGCTCCTCGCTGCATCTCACCTCCAGCTGTGCTCTCTGCATGCTGTGGAGAAAGCTATTCAGCGCTGCTGTTGGCATACCGGTATTTACTTGTTACTGATCATTAAGCAGAATAATCACCCTCGCATAATAGTGAGCGATTACATCTCGCTTTGTTACTGCTGCCACAATACAGGCTTCGTGTATCGGAACTGCACCAGTGAAGGTTGGTCCGAGACATTTCCAAGACCTGATGTTGCCTGTGGCTATGATGTGAATGACACTACTAATGAGGAGAGAGTGAGTCTGATTTATTATTTGTGACTTAACATGTGTTGCTTAATGATCTGGGGCAGGGGAGGGAGGGGAACTGTAAACCAGCAACAGAGAGAAAGCGTGGTTTAATGTCTGTGGCATGAGATGGAGCCTGGAGTGGGTGGATGTGCCCCCTTGCTCCTCAAAAGACTGAACACCAGACCCCTGTCTGAAGCTCTCCCTTGGCTTTGGCTCCCAGCATGATGGTTGTAGGTCAGCTAAAGGACCTAAGTATGAGACATTAGAGCAGGGGTGGGCAAAATGTGGCCCTTGGGCCGGATGCAGCCTGTCAAGCCATTCTATCCAGCCCGCAGGGCCCCTAAAAATGTAGAAAATTAATATTTATCTGCCCCTGGCTGCCTATCATGCAGCCCTCGATGGCTTGCCAAAACTCAGTAAGTGGCCCTCTGCTCAAGATAATTGCCCGCCCCTGTATTAGAGAGAGAGCCCTGATTGCTGTTGGTCCTGTAAGACTTCAGAGTGAAGATGCCCATGGGTATCTCTTTTGCAGCGCACCTATTTCATGAAGCTGAAGACCATGTACACGGTTGGATACAGCACTTCCCTCCTGACGCTAATGATAGCCTTGGGGATCCTGGCAGCCTTTAGGTGAGGAGAAGCGGACCTTCTTCGTTTGCAAAACCTCTGATTAACCCTCCCAGACCCAAATTAATGTGCTTGCTTTCACGGGAACATAGATGGTTAAACAGTCTCACAACCGTTCTAGAAACTAGAGGCAGAAGTAGTCTGAGTTCACTGCTCCGGCCCTGTAGTGTGTTTTTCTCTTTTAAATGCTCCAAGTGGTGGAGCTGCCATCATTTCTGTCCCATGGTAACTGATCTCAGCAGCAGACAGCTTTTTTTCTCTTCTAGTTACACTCAGTTTTCCTTTCTTATTTACAGCCTGGGTGAAATTCTCTTCTGTGTCACAATGCATTGGCTTCAGAGAAGGTGTTTCAGATTTACACGGGCCAAATCTGCTCTCAGTTTTGCCATCAGCACTTGTAACGTGTGTGTTCTGGAGGTCTGAGTTGGCTGGTTACTCAACCAACTATGTTTAGCTGACAATGGATGTCAGTAAAGCGCACTCTTTGCAGAAGGAACTGCAAATGTTTTGCAAACCATTGTCCTGAGTCTGTAAAGGCTCACTGACTTCACATAGGATTCAACACGTTGAAGGCAAATGCAAAGAATAGACAACATCAGCAAAATGTGACCCACGCTGCGTATAAGACAGCTGGTTGGCACACACCATAATTCAGAAAGGGGGTGGGAAGGGAAAGCAGACCAAAGATAATAGAGCAAATGCTCACTTGTACAGCCGTGCTCAGATTAGTGTCTGTGCAGAGCAAATGTGGCTTGAAAGTTTCCTTCTGAAAGAACCCTGTAGGGCAGACAAGTGAATGGGATTAAATCAGACTTCCTTTGAAGGATAAAGGGCTGAGTAGGTCCTGCCAGTTCTCGAAGTCGAGAGCCCAGGCAGAGTCCTGATGCTGAGATCAGCCAGCCCTCCCTTGTCTGGGGAGCATTAACTACATAGGATTTCTCTCTTTTGGGCACAGAAGACTCCACTGCACAAGGAACTACATCCACATGCACCTGTTCACATCCTTTATTTTACGCGCCCTGTCAAACTTCATCAAAGATGCCATGCTGTTTTCCTCTGAGGATGTCAACTACTGCGGCGCTCACATGGTAAAACCCTGGACTCCCCTGGGATTTTAGCAAGAGAAATGGCAATACAGGAAAGGGGCTGAGAGCCCTGACGTGCAGAGCTACAGGGGGAAGAAAGCTTTTAACAAATGCTGCTCTCCTCTGTTTTCCCCTGTCCCTGTATTCGGTATGCTGGTTGTGTCGAGCTGAAATTCTCACCACCGTTGTGTAAGTTTGGGTTAGACATTGGGGTTCATCCTCCTCTCCCTGGGGCATCAGGGTGAAATGCTTGAAGAAATCAGGCTACATCCTGGCTCCGTTGCAGTCAACTGGAGTTTTGCAGTTGACTTCAATGAAGCCAGATGTTCACACGAGACCTTCAGAAAGCGTTTGCGGCTCTCTGCTGTGGGGGGTTTGGTAAGACGTGCGAGGAAAAAGTGCTGTCTTTGCTCACCTGCAAAGGCAGGGTGCTCCCTGCCAGGGGCCATACAGCCTAAGGCTTCCTCTGCAGCTTTGCATCACTGTCTCTCTCTCCCAGGAGGGATGGAGGCTATGAAAGCAGTGGCAGTTTCTAGGTGATGGTTATAGCCGCATTGGTCTAAAGACATAGGCCGACAAGGACTTTTTGGGTCAATGTGATATCTTTTCTTAGACCATCTAAATTTTCCAACCATTTAGTTGGTCTAATAAAGGTATCACATTGACGCAAAGAACCTTGTCTGCCTATGGCACTTTCTACACATTTCCACTGAGAAATCAACCTCGTGCAGAGGAAACCGTGCTGCATTTGCTCCCCAACTCAGCTTCCCCACCCCAGCCCCAAGGGGCTTCAAGCCTCTTAGCAGTCTGCAGCACAAGATTCATAGATTCATAGATGTTAGGGTCGGAAGGGACCTCAATAGATCATCGAGTCCGACCCCCTGCATAGGCAGGAAAGAGTGCTGAGTCTAGATGACCCCAGCTAGATGCATATCCATAAGAGGCAGAGGGTCTGTGGGTTTTAGAGAACTGGCACTATTTCCGTGGCTCCCGCAACCTCCTTCAGTGCTCCTCTCTTCTTTACAGAAGTGCTAGGGGTTCTCCACACCAGGCAGGGCATGCACAACAGCAACACACCTTCCTTCTGCCAACGGGCTGCACTTGTGTTGTTGAGCATGGGGGGTCATACTCCTTACTCACATCATTAGTGCACTAGTAGCAAGGGCCTAGATATCACAGCAACTGAAGGCAGCATCATGCAATGCAATGCGGCAGAACACGTTGATTCTGCACTGGCCCTAGCAGTGTTGCCAACTCCAAGCCCTCAAAAATTCCCAGCCAGGCCTGACAGTCATGAGATTTACTTAAAAATCACAACTATTTTTTTTTAAAGAAAATAATTCTCTGCTCTTTTTACTTGGCATATAGTTTCTGAGCTTCTGAAATGCACTGATTTCAACTTTTTAAGCTTTTCTCCACAACCAAAAGAGCTATAAGCTTAGGTTTGCGAGCTAAGATTCTCATGCAGTCTCTATATTCTGGCAGTTCAGGCTGGAGGAAACCAAGCCAAATATTGTAAGAATCAAAACTAAATTGAATGTTGCCAGCAACACAGCGTGAATCAAGAGCTGGTCAAAAAGTGACCCCTGCTTTACCTGGAATGCGTTGAATTTTACATTTTGTATTGAAATATGCTACAAACTAAAACTTTTGGGGGGAGCAATGTTCAGTTTTCTAAACCAAAAAAACAAATAAGTGTTAACTGAAAAATAAAAATATTGCAAAGTCTTAGCCTGAACTTGCTTGGGCAGCTGAACAATGAGAACATTTCAACCAAAGTTAATTTTCCCTTTAAAATTTGGTGTCTATTTTTCACTGAAAAAGAGATAAAAAGAAGAAAAAAAGCCAAATAACTTTGTGAATCAGTGGCAGCACTACTGATTGTAATGGGCAATGACATCAAACCCACGAGCTAGAGAAAATCAGGTCTTCACATCCATATCCCATTCAGTTGTGGCCTCTCAGAGACTGTCAAATTAAGATACCCTTTACTGCCTCCATTACTATTGCATCTGGCCATACCCCAGTTTTTAGAATTATTCTCACAACCCCCTTGGGAGGTAGAGGTGGGCTATTGTCTCCATTTTATAGATTGGGAACTGAGGCAGAGAGACGAAGAAACCAGTGGGAACTAGATGCATCTCGGATGTTTTGGGCTCATAGCTTGCCCAATATGACTGATGTCTAGGGTGTAGCAGGGAATGACACCTAAGTCTTTGAGTCCCAGGCCAGCACCTGCCCACTGTTCCTCCTCTTTCTCATCATGCAGACACACAGACTAAGACCATCGCTTGCCACCACAATGAGCATGCATCCTCATTTATCTGTTGAGATGTCTCTCTGCAGGAAGGCAGATGAACATGCAGCAGAAGCTAATTCTACTCTGTTTCTTTAGGCTGGATGTAAAATCATCATGATCTTCTTTCAGTATTGCATTATGGCTAACTACAGCTGGCTTCTGGTGGAGGGCCTGTATCTCCATGCCCTCCTGGTTATTTCCTTCTTCTCCGAAAGGAAGTTCTTCTGGTGGTTCATCGCCCTGGGATGGGGTACTGTGTCTCTTTTCAATAAAAATAACTGTTTGATTATTACTGATTTATTTGAGGCCACTTTATCTGGTACAATAATTGGCTCTTGCAATTGCAGGAGCCCCGACGGTATTTGTTATCACATGGGCCATTACCAGGCAGCTACATGAAAATATAGGGTAAGGCATTTAAATTCCATGCATGTTGTACTCGTTGAGGGAAGCCGCATAGGTGCGTGCACACTGCTGCCAGGGTTGCCCTTTTCAGGAAAAGCATCTTTAGTTGTTACTGCTCTGCAGGTCCTGTGAATGATACTTCACTTCACTGGGACTCAGCAATGGGCCAGAGGCTGCAGGGATCCTGAAACCCTCATTGAGAATAGGTCAGGTTTAAAGGATGCTCAGGCCCTTGCAAAGAGGGTTGGTCTACAGCTAGGCAGCATTTTCAAGCCTAGTGGATGGGCTCTTAGTATCATAAGCCAGAAGGGACCCCAAAGGATCCTTGGGTCCAGCCCCTTGCATGAGCAGAAAAGCCATCTGGGGTCAGATGACCCCAGCCAGGTGACCGTCCAGTCTTCTCTTGAAGACCTCTAAGGTAGATGATTGCACCACCTCTGCGGGGAGCTTGTTCCATAGTCTGGACACCCTAGTTGTAAAGAAGTTTTTCCTAATGTTCAGCCTGAAACTATCTTCCAGGAGTTTGTGGCCGTTGTTCCTAGTTTTCCCCCAGGGTGCCTTGGTGAACAGTTGTTCACCTAGCCCCTGATGTACGCCTCTGATATAGCAGTAAGCTGCAATCAGGTCCCCTCTCAGCCTTCTCTTCTTTAGGCTGAAGAGTCCGAGATCCCTCAGCCCCTCCTCGTATGGCTTGCCATGCAAGTCCCTGATCATGCGGGTGGCCCTTCTCTGGACCCTCTCAAGCTTTAGCACGTCCTTGTTGAAGTGCGGCACCCAGAACTGGACACAATAGTCCAGGTGTGGCTGCACCACTGTTGAGGAAAGTGGGAGAATCACTTCTCTGGATTTACTGGAGATGCATCGATTGATGCACGGCAGAGTTTTATTGGCCCTAGCGAGTACTGTGTTGCATTGACAGCTCATGTTCATGCTGGGGTCTATTGTTACCCCCAGATCCCTTTCATTTGTAGTGCTGGTCAGGTTATTCATAGATGCTAGGGTCGGAAGGGACCTCAATAGATCATCGAGTCTGACCCCCTGCGTAGGCCGGAAAGATGCCCTGTAGATGTGCTGGGGGGGGGTTCTTCCTTCCCAGATGCAGCACTGTGCATTTCTCTACGTTGAACCTCATCCGGTTCTGTTCTGCACAACACGCCAGCCTGTCTAGGTCTGCTTGTATCTGCAGCCTATCTGCAGGTGTATCCGCACAACCCCATATCTTGGTGTCGTCCGTGAACTTGGCCATTGGGCTTTTCACCCCCTCATCCGGATCATTGATGAAGATATTGAACAGCACTGAGCCAAGTACTGACCCCTGCGGTACACTGCTGCCCACATCTCGCCCGGACGACACCGATCCATTCATTTGGACTCTCTGTGTCCTGCCCTGCAACCAGTTTTGCACCTGCTTGACGGTCCCACAGTTGAGCCCCATAGCTTGAAAGCCACCTGGCATCTTTTTTTGTGCTCCACTGATGGAGTCATTATATAACTCTTTCAAAGGCTGCATTTGACTCCTGTAATCAGAGAAACCTTTTTTCTATGAAGGTTTCAGGTGTTTCCTCCCAGACTTCTGGATAAATCGAGTTGGGCTTTATTTTGAAGGGCAATCTGCCATTTTGTCAGGAACAGGTGTGAACCTGGTCTCCTAGAAGCTTTGGCTTTGATACCTGTGGGAAATTATTCTGTGAAAAAAAAAAATGGCACGGAAACCTATTTGAAGTGCTATGAAATTAAGTCCTAGGGTGAGCTTTGTTAGCAGTGGGTGATTTAATAAGGACCTCTTTTTCTTCTATTATTGCAGGTGCTGGGACATTAATACCAAAGCTGCTATCTGGTGGATCATCAGAGGCCCTGTAGTTTTGTCTATTTTTGTAAGTCTGTCCTGGGACAAGTGCATTGAAAAGTCTACTTCCAGATACCGGGACATCAGAGAGTATCAGCACAACGGGTTTTAGAGCCACATCAACAACAGGATGCTCCGCACGCCCCTTCGCTGGTGCAGTACGGGAATAACTCCCCGGGAGCGTTTTGCTCAGCGGGATCCGGGTCTGTAAGGATTGCCTCTAGGGTTAAATTCACAAGGATTCCTCTGAGTTTCCTCCCCGGCAGCAACGGCCAAGCGGGGATCAGGTTTCCACATCCTGTTGATTTCGCAGGCACTTCAGCTGGCTTGTAGAAGCTTGTTTTGGACTGTTCCCGGGAAGGCAATGAAGGGGGTGCAGAGGAGCTGAAGATCTCAGCACAATAACCTTTGTGCCTCCGCCTCGGCACTGCTTCTCCCAGCTAAGCCAAAAACAACTTGTCTTACATAAGCAGCGGTTTTTGCTTTTAAAACACAGGCCCAGCTCCCTGCTGGATTCCACGCGATAAGGTGCTGGTGCACCGCTGGGATAAGTACGCTCTCCCTAAGGCTAGAGGCATTGCCCTAAGACCCCTCCACCCACAAGTATTCAGTGCACGCAAGACTGCTGTGCTGCGTGGCTCGGGGAGCCTGGAATGGGTGACCTGCAGGTGGACACGTGGCCCTCGATGTCCTGACTTTGATCACGGGACTCCCGTATCTTTGGTGGTGCACGTTCAACCCAGTTGCATGGGGGGTTCTTAAAGACCAGTCAAGTTGGTGGGCCGTTGTCTCAGTAGGACGGAGACGGGCCACGTGCAGTCCATCCGAACACCAGTGACATCTCTACAGTTATAGTTTCATAGTTGGTAGGGTCGGAAGGGACCTGAGCAGATCATCAAGTCTGACCCCCTGCCGTGGCAGGAAAGAGTACTGGGGTCAAATGACCCCGGCGAGGTGTTCATCCAGCCTCCTCTTAAAGACCCCCAGGGTAGGAGCCAGCACCACTTCTCTTGGAAGTTGGTTCCAGATCCTAGCCGCCCTGACTGTGAATGAGCACCTCCTGATATCCCAAAGCACTGGTGCAGAACCATATGATTCATTATAATTAAGTCCATCTGCTGGTGCTTATCAATGCAAAACACCTGGGGAGTGGAACGGGGAAGCTGGACTTCACTAGGGGCTTTTGCATTTCACATTTCGGAAACCATGACCCTAGGTATCACTTGGGTGAGCACGAGGGAGTGCTAGACAGCTCTGCTGGGCCAAATCCTGGGTTCATTAACAACCATTCAACTCCCCTGACCTCACAGCTGGAGGACTGCACAACTGGACAGGCAGGTCTTCACCAGACCAGTATTTAAATACCAACCCCTGTCCATGTTTAAACAAGGTTGGGGGTGATTCCAGTGCCAACCACATGACAAACATATTTGCAGAGCTCAAGGGGTTGAATGAAAATTGTCAATTTGAGCCTGGGGAGGAGTAACACACCAGGCTTCCTGAGCTGCTCCTGCCTCAGTTTCCCCCTCCAAGGCTCCTCAAAACCCTACACCATGTATCAAATCCACTTTACTGCCTGAGTTCCTCTTTGTAGCAGGTGCCAGAGCTGTAGGGTGCTTATCTCTCAAGGTTTTCTCAGGGCTTGGATCATACCAGTATAGGGCAGGGTATTAGTAACACAGTGCAAGTAATCCTTGAAATCCCAATGCAGAGAATTTCTCTTGAACAGAGTCCACAGAACAGCGCAGCAGTACAGATACCCTTCTTTCAGTGCCTGCTGTCGCTCTTCAGCCACCCTCTTTTTCAAGCAGTCACTCTGAGCCCTCCCCACACTTTTATCTCTTCCCAGGAAAGACTCCCAGTCTCTCTGTCCAGTTCTTCTTTCTTCACCAGGGCTGAGCCTACCACTTCCCTGGCACTGCACCTGCTCCCACCCTGAGAAAATCAACAGGTACAGCTTCTCTGCTACTCCCCAGGCCTCTCTACCCTGGGGAAAGTCAGCTGGCAACTCCCTCTGCTTGTGTCCTGCCTTTAGATTTCTCTAACTCTGCCATTCCCCCACTTAACAGCTCTCTTACCTCTCCCACCAGATCTCTTATTAATCCCAGCCCATCCTCCTAGTTAGGGCCAGCTGAGGTCTGTCCAAGAGAAGTAGGAGCCAGTGTAAAGGGCAGCACTAGATTCAGCTCTGAGGAAGGTTGGATGTAGCCGTGTTGGTCTAAGGACATGGGCAGACAAGGTTTTTTGGGTAGATATGATGTCTTTTATTAGACCAACTTAACGTTTAGTTGGTTGGTCTACCCAAAGACCCTTGTTTGCTCCGAGGAAGCCGCAGTGACATAATGCTCTCAAGCATAACTCGAAGGAACCTCGCATTGGATGCAAGTGTGTCCCACAATCCTCCCATTTGCAAGGGATGCACATGGAGGAAGTATGAAGAGGTTTCCCTTTCATGTTTACCTCCATTAGACTGAGACTTCCCCCCAATACAGGGCATCGGATTTACTCGCATATTCGGAGGAAAAGGTTAAAAGCAGCAGTGCAGCGGTTTGTTTTGCAGCTTCATGGGGCACAAGCCGGGCTGTTGGTGGAGCACAGGGCATGCATGCGAGGAGCTGTGATATGGAACACAGATAAGCCCAAGATTATTTCCCCATGCTGCCATCTGGTTTATATTACTTCTTATCAAGAGAGGAGAATTGAATTTGGATCCGACTATATCTTGTTATTTCTGCTCTTTGACTGTCAGGTCAAATGAGCAGGGACTGGTTTTGCTTCACTGTTCCAAGAAGCACATCAGCACTTTTAGCCAGCTTTCCTGGACGGAAACAAGCAGTGCTCCAGCAGTTACTACCCTCATGAAGCCAGGGTTGCCTGCTTCCACTATCAGTTTCTTTGCTTCCACTATCTGGGAGCCCACAGCTTCCCAGTAGACAGAGCAAACTGTGTTTGTGACAGTGGTTGGCAAATGGTCTTTTTAATACCCTCCTCTGAACATCTTCATTTGCAGCTGGGCCGTTCAGCAGCTCTTGTTCGCAACCGCGTTTTGAGTAGGTGACAGCCAAAAAATGCAAGCTGCTTATAGTACAGGCATGCACGGTCCCCCTTTCCTTAGCCATTTAAGTTTTAATAATAAATCCTGACAACTATTTAGCTGTGCCTTGGGAGGGGGGTGGGAATAAACCCCTGGACAAAAGGGGCAGAACAGAGCATATATAACACCCAAGTCTTCAAAAGAGGGTTCAAGTGAGCAGAGGCTCCACGGAGACCATTGCACCCTCTGGGAGCAACTAGAGATGAACGTGGTCAGATCCGAACGGTGAAGCCAGGCTGTAGGTGCTGCGTAGGGTGTACCCGGGGGCTGCTAATGCAAGGGGGTCTCTGCAGTCTGACGCCTGTCCTCTGTGCGTGTTGTTTTTACAGATTAACTTCATCCTTTTTGTGAATATTTTAAGAATCTTAATGAGCAAGCTCAGGTCGCCAGAAGGAAGGACCAGTGATTTCGACCAGTACAAGTAGGTTATGTTCTTCTCCTCCCTTCCTCCCTTTTCTTTAAAACAATACTTTCTCCCATTTTATGGTGCCTTCCCATTTATTTCTGCTATTAGGAGACTTGCAAAATCAACACTCCTTCTCATTCCCCTCTTTGGAGTTCACTACATCATTTTTGCTTTTTTCCCTGAAGATGCAAAGAGTGGCACAATGGAAATCCAGCTCTTCTTTGAACTGGCAGTTGGATCATTCCAGGTACGGTTTGACTTCACACTTTCAAGGCAAAAAAAGGCATTTTCCTTCTGTTCGTGAATGCCATGTACAAAGGAGAGGGAGGCCAGTAGGAGCTAGCAACTTTTGGGGGGGATATATTTCTTTAAATTAAATCCAATCTAGATGTAAAAAAACCCCACACCTGAGGTTGCAATGTAAATCTAGGAATTAATCAATTAATCTGGTTTTGTTATTTTACAGGGATTTGTTGTGGCTGTGCTTTACTGTTTCCTTAATAGTGAGGTGAGTTTTCTGCCTACCCAGCCCCTATAGAGGTCTTCTGTTGCTTAAGCATACCACAGCGATATGTCTGATTAGTTCAAATTATTCATTCCCATGCGAGCTGCCTCCTATTTCACCTGCCAGCTTGCTGCCAATTTGCCTGCTGTCACCTGTGCAATGCCTCGCCATCTCCTCGACTTGACTAACCCAAATAATTATGTATTATCTTGCAAACTTCTCCACCTTTCTGCTGCCTCCTCTCCAGATCATTTATTAAACAGCAGGCCTGGTATGAAACACTGGAGCACACTGCTGGTAATGCTGAAAATTAACCGTGTATCCCTCCTCTTGGGGTCTGTCTTTAGTTCCTAATCCATGGCAATCATTTATTTGTCATCCCATGGCTATATAGTTACTTTAATTGATCGGTGGGGAGGAGTGTATCAAAACTCTGATTAGACTGCAAATAAGATCAACCTAGATTTTACAGTCTTGGGGACCGGGGCTGTTTTGTATAGACCTTACTGCCATGAGGCCTGGTTCTGTGGTTCCCAAAGTGTTACCACCGTCAGAGCTGGGCAGGAAACTCTTTTCCCATTTTTGGGAGAATTTGATATTTTGGAAGATTTTCCTGGTTCTTCTGGAATCAAGCCACAAAGTCCATTTTAAAATGCTCATGGTCTGAACATGAACAGATCAAAGTGTGCAAATGATTTGGAAATGTTTGGTTTAGACTGACCTTTTAAGCTTTTACTTTTCCCTCCCTGTAAATCAATGTGTCAGAGCTGTGAATGCAAGGAAGCGTTGCAACAGAAAGTTGTTGCAAATGGAAAAACTCTGAATTGTATTTAGAAAAAAAGCAAAATGGCTCATTTTTTTTACATGGTTTCATCTCCTCCCCCCCGCACCCCATGGGATGCTAACTGAAGCTGATAATGTCCTGGGAAGAGTTTGAATCTCAACTCATTTACTTTCTGACGGAAAAAAATGTTCCATCGAAAAATTCCTGACCGACTCTAACCACAGCTGCTCCTAATAACAAGCACTTACCTCTAAGGCTATGCTGTATTGTACGGGTTCTTTGCAATGTAAGACCCCACATAAACTCACTGACCAGAGTTGTGTATCCTCACTGCTTAGGTTCAGCTGGAAGTCCAGAGGAAATGGAGGCAGTGGCATTTAAGCAAACACTTGCGTCAGCATCTCAGCTCCTCAGCTAGTAATGGGGGAAGCAGTTTCACTCAGGTGATGCACACGATAAAGCCCAGCCCTCCTGAGCAAAAGAGGCAGGGCACCCGGAAATCAAGTATCATTTAACGGAGCCCGTTTGGACTAACTCGGGCACACACGCTCAACTTCCTGTGGACTGCACCAGGAACCCGTTTGTGCATCCTGAAAGCAGAACTTGGCCCCGGGTCAGCTCGTCTTGCAGCACATCGAAGTGTTGGTATCCTGCATAAGTATTATTGTGGTCCTTTTGCAAAGGAGGAGGCCAAACATCCTGCTCTTTCTCCATTTTTCTGCAAATCAGTCTTGTTTGCCTTCCTCCTCCTGTACTTTGGGGCTGTCATGCTGACCTGAAGCACTTGCTCTTTGTGGCTTTTTCTTGGGTTGTCCTGGCTGGGTTGTTCTCATGGTTTTCAAATGTATCTTATTTCTCTTTTTTTTTTTTAAATTGAAGTTTGCACTATATATTCTGCTTTGCAGAATGAGTGTTGCAGTGTATTCTTGAGCACCATATTGGTTGAAAATGCAGAATTAGTTATTCCTTTGTTTCAAGCGTAGTATTTGTTATCCCTTTGTTTCAACCCATCTTCAGAACCTAATTTTAGAAGAAATGGCTGGGAAGGTCAGGGCTTGGTCCAGTTATTTCTCTCCTGTTATGTAGCTGTTACCTAGATAAGTTTCAGTGGCATTGGAAATAGATTTCTTCCCTTCCACTCTTCAACTAAAGAAGATCTCAGAAAGCAACACACTTGTATAATTTAGATTAATGCCAGTGCTTGAGCTGGCAGCAGCAGAGCTACTTTGGAAAATTCCCACGTTAGCCAACCTTAATAAAATAGCCTTTGACACAAATTGTCATCTCCGTATTTATGAATCCATCCAGTCCATCTTCAAAGGGAACCGGTGGAAATTCAGACGCTCGGGGCACTTAAAACTCAATTAAACTAGACAATAATGTGGGAAGCAAACCAAGACTGGCAGGGGAAAATCCTTTCAAGGTCTGTCCTCACACAAATCTAATGAAGTCAGTGAGATTATACAATGTATGACCTTTCTGGAGCTACGCTTATATATGCCAGCTGGTGTTCTGGTCCAAAATAACAATTTAAAGAATGATATCTTGCTATATGAGTTTCCCTGGCCCTAGGAAGGGATAAAACAGTTCAGCTAAAAATAAGTCAAACCAAGTAGCTAAATTTAAGAAATCCATTTAAAATAAGTTCCCCTAATGACTTCATCCTCTCCTGGCTTTGCCTGTTTTATTTTTCCCTTTAAAAAATGAAATTCTGATAAAAATCAGCCATCAGGTGAAGTGTTTCAGTTCTGCTGGAACGATGTTCTCTGGTGGGAAACTCTTTAGTCTGAGATTTTTCCGGTCCGATTTGTTTGCAATTATTAATCCTCACAACAGACCCGGTGACAAGTAGTTTCATGATTTGGCAGGATGCTAAGGCACACCTTCAAAGTTCAGAAAGAATCATACCCTCATGAGATGGGCTTTGCTGACTGTTATAAATGATGCTTAAACAGCTCCAGGTAGATGAGAAAACGTCCTCCTGTATTTTTTCCTGTCAGTAGCAAGCTGAGTTGGGCAATCCTTCATCACCCGGGCGGAGCGTCTACTCGTGCTCTTCACATCGTTGACTTCAGACTTCTTGGGCAAGAAGGGACTCATCCTCAGGATGGGGGGTTGCATAATCTGGCCTTTTGTGCCTGCTCCGGTTTTCCCCTGTTGCTGGTGTAGATCTCTCCGCAACGGGAAAGTGCAATTATTTAAAAAATAGAAAAATGCCAGTGAAGCCATGAATTATCCAGGCTTCCCAGGAGCCTGCCTGCGACCTTTTCACTTCTGCTTTTGGCAGCAGCTGGATTTCAGGTTGACTTTGTCCTTTTAAGTTATTTGCCCAAGACAACAAATGGAAGGGGCACTGGAACCAGGGTCAGGAATGGACATGCAAACATGTTACAGCAAGTTAGGAGTGGGTGGCAGCTTAACTGCAGAGCAAGTGAAGCGCTGTGACTACTTCCATGTCTGCTTTTACTCTGTGATAGCTGGTAAAAACCAAACTAGTGCAGCTTAGCCTCATTTCACTGATGGGTAAAATGCCCTGGCTCAGCTCTCCTATTATGGGGAAATAGTGGGCCCGTGAGTAGTCCCCACTTGGCGTATTCTTAGTCCCTGGCACCTAGTCTCGTGGTTCAGTATTATGCTACACCTTTCCTACTCGAGCATAGGGCCTCTCTACACGTGCAGGTAAAGGCACAATAGGATCCAATGTGCAAGCCACACAATCGCAGCTCCTGCAAAGCCACACGTGCACAGCAGGAAGCATGCATGCAGGATTGTGCATTAGATCCCATCACAACCTTGCAGTGTGGGCAGCCAGGAACGCTACCTCCACTGAAAGTGTTATCATAGATTGATATGGGGTCCAACCATGGGGCTCACAGAAGGGGCTGTGAGGAGGATACTGCTGCCACCACAAAACTTGTGACGTGCAGGGCCTGCAGCAGGGGAAGCGGGGAGAGCGCTGCCACTGCTGCAAGCCTTGCCAGCTGCGGGGCTGGCAGCGGGTGATGCATCCCTGTGGCTGGGAGCCCCTCAGTTGATGGGGCTCCCAGCCACAAAAAAGTACTTGGAAGGGAGACAGGCAGGATCAGTCAACCCACTTACAATTAAAGTTTCTTCCCCGTCTTGGCTGACATTTCAAGAAACATAAAAACATTAACCTTATTTTCTATAGGCAAACCTGAAATACAGCCAAGAGAAGCTAAACTATCTGCACATTCTCATTTTGGGTATCAACATTTCAGTCATTCATTGCATCCAATTGTTTTAAATGAGAAGAAAGAAACATCTTTCCTTCTCTGTCAATCTACTGACATAAGTCGAGACATTTAATGTGATGTCATAAATACAGATCTGATGCAACTCTTCACCAGCCCTCAGAGCATCAGAAGAAGGTAGTCTCAGAGCATGGTGCAAGGGGTGGCATCTAAAGGCCTGGGCATAGCTCAGGATTAGTGCAATACCAGTTCTTATAGGTCATGGAAACCCTTCTGGATTAAAGGTGAATCCAAATATTAAATGCACTAGAATAAAAACTTCAGTGTCTACAACTATCCTTTTTTTTTTTTTTTTTAACTGGTGTTCTAGCTCCAGATAAAGTTTTCCAAGGCTCTTACTCTACTTGTTCTGCTTTAATGCAGGTTGAAAACAAGGAGGAAGTGTTTTCCAGAGTCCACCTTCCTGCTGTAGTTTGGGTGTTTGTCAGGTGTCAAGCAGCACAGCCTGTTTTTCAGGAGTGCTGAGCCCTTGCAGGACCTTACTGACTTCAGCAAGACTGACGTTGTGCTTGCCTTTCTGAAAGATCAAGCTCATTGAACCTAAGCACTAGGTATGGAGGGATGCAACTTCTATGGGTCTTGACAGTTGAAGGAATAAAACCATCAAGCTTCTGTGCTGCACGACGCTGAAATGCAGTGCTCCCCCGCCCCCTGGTTGAACTTCGGGCATCAGAAATGCTCTTCTCTGTTTGTGGACATTTCTGGTAACAGGAATAGTGCTGTGCTGGCAGAACAGAGCTGTTTGCTAAGCAGAACAAAAGATCAACACGAAAGTTATTACCAGGGAAGGGATTTTTGTTTTGTTTTTCTTCTTTTTTTTAAGGAAATGTGGAATAAGGCAAAGTTAGGAGAAGTGCACAACCTGGAGTTCTGGAGCCCGTGGCTCCCCATGTTGGCTGCTGAACAAAGAATGCAAGTAATATTTGACCCTCAAAAAGCCCATTTTCAGAGTTCATGGACTAGATTTGTTCCTTTTTTAGCACCCTGCCCCTTCATATTCCCTATACCTTGCATCAGGAGATATCGAACAACGAGGACGTCCAACATTTCTTGCAAGCACATATCTTCCAGTACGTGAAAACCTGTGCAATCACTTACACAAGTATTCCCACTAAAGCCAATATGACTACTAGCACAAGCATCAAGAGCGAAGAAAAAAAAAAAAAAATGTTCACACACAGGCCAAAGAGCCAAAGCACACCCTTTCCATGAGCTAAGAAATGAGTTATTCCACTTAATGGAGCAACTCTTCACAAGCCCTCAAGCTGCTACAAGAGGGTAATCTCAGAGCATGGTGCAAGTAGTGGCATCTAAAGGGCTGGGCGTAGCTCAGGATTAATGCAATACCTGTTATAGGTCATGGAAACCCTTCTGGATTAAAGGTGAATCCAAATATTAAATGCATAGCTGCTAATTGACTTGCCTAAGGCTAAAGAAAACTTCTGTAGCAGAACCGTAAATCTGGATTCCTGATCTAGCGATCTAACCCCTAGAACTGCAACCTTTGAATAAAACCACTGGGTTGAGACAACACAAAAAGAGACAACATGTATTTGTGAGAGTAGCACATCATGTAATGGAAATGCTAGTGTGCATAAAGGGGCTGCTCCTACTCTACATGTAGTAGCGCTGAATGTGGTCCCAGGCCTTTTAACAAAGAGAGATGGCTCACCTGCTTGAATCAGGACGCAAGATATCTGTATGCCACACTTCCACGCTGGAGATCAAGTGGGTGAAGGCCACAGCTGGCCACATTTGGATAAATGCAGCAAAATGCAAAGAAAGTTTTCCATCTCCCTGTTGTGTGTGTGTGTGTGTATGTGCATATGTGTACACACATGCAGGCATGCACACTGTGCACATGAGACTGCACACACATGCAAGAGGGCAATTTAAATACCCCAGTACGATTCATTCATAAGGTTTCATACAAAATACCTGCAGCTGAATTGAAAAGTCCACTTATTTCAAAAGTAGTTTATTTAAACATGAAACTTCAGGAATATTGACTCTCACTTTTTGTTGTCTTAACAGGCTTTAGAAAAAGTACAGATTACAGTTTATGGTACATAAAGACATCATTAGATTTGATGGTCCCAACAAATCAACAGTAGTAGTATCTTGTTCTGCAGCATTTACTAACAAAATATGCCCTACTCAGAATTTAATAAAGCAAAAGAACTGTTATACAAAGCTCAATGAAAAGAAACTTTGCAGTTTTTTTTTTCAGTTGGGGATTTTTCCAAAACTTTTCTTGTTTCTTCATAAACTAGTTCAGGGCTGCTGTGTGTCCTATGTGGGCTCAGTAACTTATTGTCTGCTTTGTCCCACTTGCTAGAGAGGGATATTGGGGGGAGGGGGGTGGCTTGACCAGATGGGGAGAAAAACGCCTACTCCAATTTTCCTCCCTTGCCCCCCAAATAAACAGGACAGGTGAATGGACGGTGCTAGGTCCAACTGCTAGTGTTATGATGACCCACCCTAGGAAGTGCAAACATAAATTTCCATTTTTTGGAAGCTACCAATCCCATCCTTGGATTGTAATTTAATGGAGTATCAGGCCCTTAGGCAAACCAGGAGTCATGTAAGAGCTCTATCACCAGGTTCACAGCACCCGGCGGTACTCTGTTTATGTATCCCCATGCAACTTATTGGAACATGCAAGATGGCATAAGGCACTCCACAGATTGATACAACCAACCTGCAACCGCCGGGAGCTCAACCTTGCAAACTCTTGCTTCTGCAAGTTGTCTTACTAGACGCGAAGGGACCACTCACACAAATTAAGTGCTTGCAGGGCTGTCCGCTAGCCTCATATTTTAAACAAACAGTGCAATTCAACAAATCCAAAGCACCTCACTTGAATAAGAGAAGTAGCTATGATCACAGTGCAACATTTCAAAGGCAAATTGAGGGCCGAAGTCCCGAATTCCTTATACGTTCCAT